CCTTACAGGGAAACCGTTAAACTTCAACTAACCTAGGTTAATTTCTTAACCCGAGTATAGGGCCGAATTGTGTGTGAAGTAAGTGTGTTCTAGGTTGTGAATAATGCTGTCAAGAGGGACAAATTAACAATAATAATGATCAATTTTTAAAAAAAAATTAAACTAAACAACAACAACAAGCCTTTATCCCACTAGGTGCGGTTGGCTATATGGATTGCAAGACGCCATTGTGCTCTATCATTTATCAAGCTTTTAGGAATATTATTAATTAAGAGATCGCGTTCAACAACTTCCAAGAGTGTTCTCTTAAGCCTTCCTCTACCCCTCTTAATCGGACTCAAAGTTATATGTTCTACTCTTCTCACTGGTGCCTTCCTTGGTCTTCTTTGTACATGCCTAAATCATCTCAACTGATTTTCTACCATTTTTTCCTCAATAGGTGCCACCCTCACTTTTTTGCGTACGTGCTTATTTCGAATTTTATCTTTACGTGTATGTCCGCACATCCATCGTAACATTCTCATCTCTGCCACTCCAACTTTATACTCTTGCTGTCCCATTAGAGCCCAACATTCACTACTATATAACATTGCCAGTCTGATAGCAGTGCGATAAAACTTTCCTTTAAGTTTATTAGGTACCTTACGGTCGCAAATAACTCCTTTAGCTTTTCTCCAATTAAACCACCCAGCTTGAATTCTATGTGAAATATCTCCACTGATTTCGCCATCATTTTGAATAATGGCTCCCAAATATCTAAACTTTTTCACTTGAGGTATAATTTGATCTCCCAATTTCACTTCCAAATTATTGTCAAATAGTCTCTTACCAAATTTACAATATAAATATTCTATCTTACTTCTACTCAGACGGAAACCTTTCGACTTCAATGTCTTCCTCCATAACTCAAGTTTGCAATTAACCTCTTCTCTTGTCTCTGCTATAAGAACTATATCATCCGCAAAGAGCATACATTTGAGAATTTTCCCTTGAATATGTTCCGTCAAAACGTTTAGAATCAAGTTGAACAGATAAGGACTCAGAGATGATCCCTGATGTAGTCCAATCTTTATAGAAAAATCCTTTATTTGACCACTAGGCGTTCTTATACTAGTTTTTACCCCCTCATACATATCTTGTACAGCTTTAATATAAGCAATCCATACTCCTTTTTTTTCCAACGCTTTCCAAAGCACTTCTCTTGGTATACGGTCATAAGTATTTTCCAAATCAATAAAAACCATGTGTAGATCTTTATCTTTATAACAATACTTTTTCATTAATCCCCTTAGTAGATAAATCGCCTCTGTGGTTGATCTATGTGGCATAAAACTAAACGGATTCTCAGAAATACTTGTCTCCAATCTCAACCTGTGCTCAATTACTTTCTCCACAATTTCATTGTGTGGCTCATGAGTTTAATCCCTCTATAGTTAGTACAATTCTGAATATCTCCTTTATTTTTATAAATAGAAATTAATGTACTTCTTCTCCACTCATCAGGCATTTTCTTGGACCGTAAAATCACATTAAATAACTTAGTTAACCATCTCACCCCTTCTTCACCCAAACATTTCCACGCTTCGATAGATATACAATCAAGTTCGTTGGCTCTACCATTTGCCATTTTCTTAAGAGCTTCATTTACCTCCTTATCACGTATTATTCGATAGAATGACAAATTTTGTTCTCCTTCACCAGTTATTAAATCCTCCAAGTTACTAGATGAACCCTCTCCATCATTGAAAAGTTTGGAAAAGTTAAGTCTCTCATCTATTTTTAATTTCATCATCTGTAACTAAAATTCTTCCCTCTTCATCCTTAATACACCTTACCTGTTCTAGATCCCTTGATTTTCTTTCCCTACTCTTGGCAATCTCATAAAAGTTTCGTTCTCCTTCCTTCGTCTGAAGGCTCTTATAAAATTCTTCAAAAGCTTTAGAATGAGCTTCATCCACAGCTCTCTTAGTTTCCTTCTCAGCCATACGGTAGCTCTCCCAATTTTCCTCATTGTTACACAAATGTATGGCTTTAAAACAGTTCTTCTTATACTTGATTTTGTCCTGTACACTATTATTCCACCACCAAAACTCCTTATCTCGCAGACCAGAACCTTTTAATTCTCCCAAAACTACTTTTGCAACCTCCCGTATCTTTTTAGCCATATCCTCCCACATGATGTTAGCACTTCCTGAGATTCCCAAATTTCTTTGTCCAAAAGATTTCGCTTGAAAATATCTTGCTTTTCACCTTTTAATTACTACCACTTAATCCTTGGTGCTACTACTTGTCGACGCTTTTAGATTTTACTCATAATATACACATCAAGGACTAGGACCCTATGTTGTGTCGTTACAGCATCTCCGGGGATCACCTTGCAATTTTTACAAAGTCTTCTATCTGTGTTCCTAACCAAAAGAAAATCAATCTGTGACCTTGAGGCTCCACTTTTGTAAGTGATGAGATGCTCATCTCTCTTCTTGAAACAAGTGTTGGCAATCTTAAAATCATACGCCAATGAGAAATCAAGAAGAGTTTGTCCTTCATTGTTTAACTCTCCAAAACCAAAACCACCATGCATCCTCGTATACTGACCAGCCTCCCTCCCAACATGCCCATTAAAGTCTCCTCTAATAAAAATCTTTTCACTCTGTGGTATGTGTCGAATCAACCCCTCCAGATCCTCCCAAAATAATTCCTTAAGACTGGCTTCTGTCCCGACTTGCAGTACATAAGCGCTAACAATATTAACAGTCTCACGTCCAATTATCATTTTTAAGGAAATAATTCTGTCTCCAATTCTACTAACTTCTATAACATTCTTCTTCCACTCCTTATCCATAATGATGCCTACTCCATTGCGTGCACTTACTTTTCCTGTATACCAAAATTTGAAACCTTGAATATCCTTAGCTTCTTCTCCACGCCATTTTGTTTCTTGCAGGCAAAGGATATTGATTTTCCTTTGAATCATAACCCCTACAACCTCTACAGATTTACAATTCAATGTCCCAACATTTCAAGTACCAAATCTAATTTTGCTCTCATGGACTAACCTTTTTAGCCGCACGCATCCAGAATAACACAGTAGCCCTTACTTATTTAACACTACATCCGGGCGCCGATGCAACGGCTCTAACTCACTTATCACTGTACTCGAGCCATGTAGCGTGTTACTTACAGGCAACGACCTAGCATTAACATTATAACGTCTATTGTCCATGTTCATGATAGATTAAACAAAGTTTTACATTGACTGTTGATGGCCTAACACAACCCTCCTCCTTTACCCGGGCTTAGAACCGGCTATAAACATAAGCGGAGTTAAAATTAAACTAAACACACTTTAAAAATTAAATTGCATGCTCAAAGATCAAACAAAAGATATCAAACCAAGCATGAAAGGAAGAACTACCTCCTCGTAAAAACCATATAAGTCAAATAAGTGAGAGGTCAATAGCCTTACCAACGAAGCTTTAAAAGCTTAAAAGTTGAACTTTTACCTAAATAATGCTTTGAAAGATGATTTGGGATCCTCAAGCTTGCTCAAAACTGTAAAAATCTCCTTGAAAGTATGCAAAACGCAAAAAAAAAAAAAAATGATTTGGGAGATTTCTACAAAAAAATGAAAGTAGGTCAATAGCCTTACCAACGAAGCTTTAAAAGCTTAAAAGTTGAACTTTTACCCAAATAATGCTTTGAAAGATGATTTGGGATCCTCAAGCTTGCTCAAAACTGTAGAAATCTCCTTGAAAGTATGCAAAACGCAAAAAAAAAAAAAATTCAGATTTTGGGTTGTGCACGTCAGGGTGTGAAGTCATGCGCAGGATTGTCACCGGCGCGCGGGCAAGTGATGGCCACACATAGATCATTCCACCGACGCATGGAGGCGCATGTGTCAAAGGACGGAGTTGAAATTTTCGGTTTTGATCGGATTCCTCCTTTTGAACACGATGGCGGTGGTGTTTTAGCGATCTGACGTCGGGAAGTAGGCATTTCTGGGTAGGCAGTGTAAAATAGGGTCTGTGAGTTTTTCAAGCGAGTTTTCTGTGATTTTCAAGTGACGGAAATGGCCAAGGAACATAGGAACACAAGCTCTGATACCAAATTGATATAACACACACTCACATAGATCTGAATAGAGGGAGAGAGTAGAGAGAAACTAGAAATAGGGAGGGAGAAATGAAGAACAGAACAATGAGGGAGCAAGGGAGAGGGAGACAGAATGCAGAGAAAGGGGGAGAACTTCTGAATATGCAACCACAATATTTCATTCATCAAGTCTGTCCATTACAAGTGCAATCAAATTTATTTAACAAAACTCTCATGCCTAAATAAGGAAGCCTTAATCACATCTACATATAAAGCTAACTTTCAGATTTCCTCTTACAAAAGAACACAAAAGGAAACCTTAACACCTTGTCCATATAAAGTTAGGCTTTACATTTTCCTTCTTACAAAATATTAAAATAACACAAAGAGAATTTATTTTTTTTTAGAATAATGTCTCCCATATTTCCTATCACAAGTCTTCATTGGTTGAAAAATTAAAAAAAAAAAAACAGAAAATTCTTGACCCAGAACTTCAATAAGTCCTGAATCTTCAGCATTGGCTGTGAGAGGACCCCCACCTGATGATAGAGGAAGAAAGCAAGGAAGAGGATGGGGTGAACACGGTAACAAAAGTGGTCATATCATGGATCCTTGTTGAAAGTTACATGGGAAACCAAAGGTCTGAACATAGAGGCTATTCAGTGTCCCATGAGGAACAAAATGAATCTGGCCCTGTGTGTTTTAGTGCAGCAGAAGTTGAAAGTTTGAGGAACAAAATGAATCTGGTACTATGAGTTTTAGTGCTCCAGAAATAAAGTCAAAGCAACACTCTGCTAGAACGCATAGTAACCATGGGTAATTTAACCCAAACAGGTAATTATATTCAATCTCTTAATGCTAGGAGTTCAAAACCAGATTCATGGGTTGTGGATTCAAGTGCTACTGACCATATGAGGAAACAACATATTTTCATGCACTGGAATCTTCTTCAAAAGCGCTCCTTAATATTTGCCATTGTCTAGACTGCCCGATGCATCTTTTGTCACTTTACTTCCTAGACAATTCCTGCTTCTACAAGTAACGTTATAGGGCTTTTAATCCTGAAAATAAGAAAGAGCTAAATGCGTCAAGAAAAGCATATTATTTGACAAGCGATAAACATGAATTGAGATGTGTTGACTTATCTCCTTCATCATGAAAAATAAGTCTGGAAGAAAGAATTTGAGGGGGAAAAAAGCAATAAGAGAGAGTGCAAACCTGATGGACTGTGTAAGTTGTAACATAATAACCCAGTTCATGCAGAAACAATGTCACCATTATGATTAGACCAATTATAGAGACTGCATGCTCTGCCATCACGAGTTTAGTACAAAACCCTTTTTTAAAATCAAAGAATTAAGGTATACTTTAGCCAATATTTTTATTATCATTATCTCGAAAAAGATTTCAACAGCAAGTACTAGTCTATGACCTCCAACTTTCAACATATTTGTATTAAAAAGGACAAGATATTGTAAATTTGATAATAATCGAGCCAGTTTTCTCAAAGTGTAGTAGTATACTTGATGCATGCCAAAAAAAAAAAATAGTAATATTAAGTCAAAATTTAAGGACTAAATTTTATCTAAATTAAAATTTTATTTACCATAATTTTCTCATATATTTAAGACTGGATGGAGCACATCATTACAATCATTATAAATAATCTCTATCATGCCCTTTTAGCTTGTCATTTAACTTCAAACCTTTACATTATCATGCTTCTCCCAGAAAATAGAAAACTTGACAGAAAGTTAGCCGCTTCCATCATAGTAGTCATCGACATAATTTTTCAAAGGCAGCAAGCTTGATATACTCCCTTGACCTCGGCCTTTTTGTACATGCTTGAGAGTTTTTAATGCAATTCCACTGCCATCATCCCTGTTAAAACAGAATAACAGAAGCAAAAGAATATTACAAACAATACAATTGTCTATCTTATTCATACAAAAGCAACAACATTTCACACCTCACATGGGAAAAATTAAGCTATCATGAATATCCAAGTGTCCATCAAAATTGTCTGTAAAAATGCCTACTAATATAAAGAAACAACAATGAACACAAAGATTATATCATGTTAAGATAGTTCCATGTTATATATAAAATCACATTCTTTATAAACTTACTTATTCACCAGTTCTAGAAGAAATAACAATGATTGCATCCCAGGAGATCTAGTAGGAGCCTTTAAAACTAAAATGCAGATCCACTAATCACATCCAACAATCCCAGTAACTTGGGCAAACCCTACAAATTTTAATTCCTTTGGTAATTTGTAATTAAGACAGTAAGAGATTTTCATATTTTACTCAATCCACCAATATAAACCCCCCAAAAAAGAGAAGCACAAAGCATTTGTCCCAAGACAACTCAAATATCAGCAAATGAAGAAACCTTGTTTCAGTAGAGAAAATCAATTGGCATAAAAAGATACTCATCACAATACCTGTGCAAAATATCCTGCCAGTCAATCCCAGCAGCCTTATTGAGTTTTCCATCTATGTTCTTTCTTTCACTGTTACAAGTCTTATTTCCAACTCCATCTTCTAAAGCCAATTCCGTCATCTTCTTTGCAAGTTCATCAGCTTGTCGCTTGTCACCCCTTTCACTTAAGCCATTAATCACTGGCATGAATGATGAATGATCGAACTCATATTTTCTATCAATCAATTTAAGAAGAAGAACATTAGCATCATTTAACCTTCCATCCCGGCAAAGTTGGTCAATGAGATCCTTATACATGAAATTTTTCAACCCAAGAGATCTATCTAATGAAGCTTCAAATAGCCCCATTGCTTCAGATACTTGTCCTCCAGCAAGTAATTCATTGAACATCAAACTGTACAAGGGTTCCTTTTGACCGCATACACTCAGAGCTACCTCAAATAGTTCACATGCAACTACAAAGTCACTTGATTTACAGAAAGCCTTTATCAATATTTTGAAGGAAGATATATTGGGAGTTACGCCCTTATCCAGCATTTCATGTAAAAGAGAAGTGGCGTCCTCAATATTGCCTCCATCACAAAGATTGCTAATTATATTATTATATGTGCAAACATCTGGACATATCCCTCTTTCTCTCATCTCATCCATCAGACCATATATTTCAAATATTTGGTTTTTAATTCCTAAGCCCAAAATCAATGAATTGTAAGTTTGAAGAGTCTTGCTGCAACCATTTCTCTCCATATCCTTCAGGACACGATAGGCAGATGATATCTTTCCTTGTTTACAGAAACTCTGAATGAACGAATCATAGACCACAGAATCAGGGTGTAAGCCTTTTGCCATCATTTCTATAAATTTCTTTTTTGCTTCCTCAAGCCTCCCAACCTTGCATAGCCCATTAATTATGGTTGCATAAGTGATCACATCTGGAAATCTATTTGATACATTTTGGATATCATTTACTAGGCTGGCAATCGAGTTTCCTTTATCAAGGGAAGCAGGTCCATTAGTCCACATCTCATTAACAATTTCAACCGCTTTGTCCAATTCACCACTTCTACAAAGACCATTGACCACAATATTGCATGTCACTGTATCAAACTGGCACCCTTTTTTGTTCATCTTTTGCAGCATTTCCTCTGCTTCTGATGTTCGCTCTTCTTTCCAAAGGCTGTGCAATAATATGTTGCAAGTGTAAGTATTTGGGGAACAATTATCATTGATCATTTTCTGAAGAATATTTTTTGCTTCAATAGTCTTCCCTTTGCTACAGAACCCATGCAGGAGAGTACTATAAGTTACGGTGTTGGGGCAAATACCATTACTTATCATCATATCTATCAACGCTTTTGCATATGCTAGCATACGTTTTCTGCAAAGTCCATCCATTATAATGTTATAGGAGTATATGTTTGGTTTGATTCCTCTATTCAGCATTTCATTGAGAACTAAACGGGCCTCTGATAATTTTCCCATTCTAGCTAAACCCCACAACCATGTGTTATAACTTTCTAGTGTCATAAAATTACCAACTTTCTTCATTTTGTCAAGAAGAGCTCTTGCTTCCTCTAACATGCCTTCCTTGCAAAATCCTTTAAGCATTATATTGTAAGTTACAATATTGGGCCTTGGAAGTCCTAAGTCTTCATCCATTTGCATGTCTCTGAAAATTCTTGATGCTTCTAAAATTTTTCCCACTCTACAAAGGGCCGATATCCTAGAATTGAAAGTAACAACATCTGGAAACAGACCCTGGTCTCTCATCCTTTCAACCAATTTTTCAGCTTCATCAGTTCGATCTTCTCTACAAAAGCTAGATATTAGAGTATTATACACCACCTTATTTGGGGAAGGGTGACCATTCTTTGCCTGGTTAAGAATATCTAAGCCGTGGGCAGTGAACCCAGCTCGACAAAATCCACGAACAAGAATCCCAATACTGAATTCATTAGGCTGACAACCCTTTTCAGACATTTTATCAAACAGGTCTCGAGCATCATCTAAACGGCTAGAATCACACAGGAATTGGATTAAGAGATTAAGTGTATAAGTTTCTGGTTTGACCCCAGCAGAAACCATGTCTGTGTATAGCCATTTAACAAAATCTGAGCGTTTTCCTTTAAGACTAGATCGAAGAAGTACATTGTATAGGGAAATGGTCGGAGGCATTGCTGGAAATCGAGCTCTAAGGGATTTGAAATGTAAGACAGCCTTATCAAGGTGGCCAGATGATGCCAGGATTTGAATGAAGGAAGTGAGAGACACAAGGGCAACATCATGGCGCTGCGAGACAAGAACAAGCTGAGGGAGTTCATCGATCTCCCCCTGCATTTGTGCGCCAATAAGGATACGTACGATGATAGGTATGGAACGAAGATAACAAGGAGAAGGGGAGGAAGAGGATGAAAACAGAATGCGCTTGAAGAGTTGCCATGCAAGTCTGGGATTATTGGTGTTCTTGAAAAGAGCTCTGACAAGCTTTGATGTTTGATCCATAGATAAAGAGATGCAGAAGCAGAAGCAATTCGTCAAGGCTAAATTGCCAATCACAGAAGTAATTTTTCATGTAAAGAAATTGGAAGCCAAGGGCTTCCGAAACCTCGGCACTGCCTCTCTGGTTCGCTCAAGCTGCCTCTACAACTGAACAGGTTGAGGAATCAACATTTAGAATGAGTTTTCAGCTTTAGATTAGCATGCAAGGAGGAGGGCAACTTAAAGGTGAAAGAGAACCATAGCATCAATTTTATGATTGAGATTTCAGCTTTAAACAATCAAAATCAAGAACTTGAATTTCCTTCACCATTAATCGAAGATTGAAATTCAACATTCTCTTGGCTAACATTAATCAGTCATAGGCTCACAGCCAACGGAAGAGGGCAGTAACAACTTACCGACCAACAGAAGAATTTAGAGAGAGGATGTTGCGTTGCCGATCTCCAAGAACCCGAAGCTTGAGGTAGTCAGCAACGGGAAAATCTCCAGTCAAGGCAACGAACAAGTCCGAACACGTTACTCGAGGCAAAACACAAGCCGCAAAAATCACGATCTGGAGTGCTTGCCAACCTTGATTGAAACTACAACTCCACTGACGACAGGAGAGCAAATCACCCGAAGAGGCAATCTGCCGTTACCATATGTGAACTGTGTTATACATGTTTCTTATAAGGAATAATATAAGAAGAAAACATATAAACGAAGCGAATCAAAATTTCAAGACAAAGAGAGAGAAAAATCATGGCTTATAACTCCCATATTTTTTGATTGACATAATCGAAAAATAACAATCTTATCTTCTATCTCATTCTTATTTGTTTAGAGCATTCATTATCTTAAGATAAAGCCATGTTTCAGGCATATCAACGGACCCAAACTAATTCAGATGCCATTAAGTCCTCCAATTAAGGATAAAGTGGAGGGCCATGAATGTTTTTTCATACCCAAGGAAGAAATCAAACCCCTCTAACTTGGTTAAGAGACTAAGTAAGGAATCATCAAGCCACATCGTTTATTTTTATTTTTATTCTTTCTTTATATATTATAAATTGTGTCGTCTCTATTTTTTTTTTTAAACAGTATAATTTCATTATTACCTTTGAAGATTATTTTCATATATTGCATCTACAGTTTAAAGAACTTAGATTTCCTTTTTTACCCTGACAACCATAAAAATATTTCAAAAAAAAATAAATAATAAATAAAATTACAGAGATAACCCAAGTAACAAACAAATCTAGTAAAAATCAACTCAAAAAAAAATCAAAATTGAAAGAGGGGAGAATATATGAATGATAAGGTGGTTCCTCGAAATGTCATAATTTCACTGCAATCCTTAGTGACTTTTCTATGATTAATGAATTTATATAAACGACCAAATTACCCTTGTTAAAAAAATGATTCACAAGTTTTATTTAAATAATTACCACTTTCCTTCTTATATTCGCAACAATGCAACAGTAAATCAAGAATTTTACATGCAAATTTCACAGGAGAACATAAATGTCTCATCTTTAAATATTCCTTTTTGAACGTCAAGGTTGTTACTCGTGTGAAAGAGCCAATCTTATCAACCTATATGACATACTAGACATTATATATTCTCACGCACACACAAATGAAAGTAATGAAAAATGAATAATTTTTATTAATATAACCAAATATTATATCAAGTTTTTCTTTTCACAATCTAGATATGCCAAGAGCCTTTACATACTTCTTAAATATCTCCTTAACTATAGGTTTTGTTAGAGGATCCGACAACATACATTTCGTATAAATGTATTGTATAGTGAAACTTTTTTATGTTATATACTCCCATACAAAATTGTATTTGATGCCTATATATTTAGTTTTGATGCGGTGCTTAGAATTTTGGTATAAGCTATGGCTACAATGTTGTTGTAAATGACCCCAAGAGAGGGGTGAATTGGGCTAATTAAAAATTAAATTAAATTTACAAAAATAAAGAGAGAAATATAGGAATGATATTACCAAAGACGTGAGATGAGAGAGAAGAGCTTTACACTGATGATTTATCCTGATTTGACTCCTACCACTTACTAAGAACTAAATTAGGTGACCTATACTAGTATATAGACACTTGATTGCATCATACGATTAATCATGACATTATTACTTTAACTCTAAATAGATTTTGACTTGGAATCACATGGCTTTAAGTGTAATACCTTAAAAATTTTTCCCAAAACAATTAACTCAACTATCGTAAAAAAGTGTCTACCATAATAAATAGAAGCCAACTAATTTTATATTTTTTAAAATAATTTTATAATTTAAAACACTATCATGGAAGGAAATGATAAAATATAACCTTATAAAATATTTCACATTTAAAATAACTACCATAGTAAAAAAGATTAAGTTAGATAAATAAGTACTATTATAATAAGTAGAATTTAAACTCCTTAAATTGTCATTTCTAAGATTTGGGATCCCAAGCAATTAACAACATTATAAGTGTGAAAGGCCTAAAAGATCTCTTTAAAATTGAAAATATAATAAACCCAATAGAATAGAAAAAATAAAAATAGTAATGAATTTTAAGATCTTGAAACCACCTCTCAACTTTGCCAAATAACACAAATTAATTCTTAATACTACTAATACACATCTACTACCATAATTAAGTTACAGCCACCCAATTCATTTTATATCAATAAATCTAATATAAAAGCATTTAATAATTAGTTTAGGTTTGCACAATTCAACACCATAAATAAATTTTTAACCTTCCACATGCCATTAAGCCAAAATCATATTTTTCTAACCTTATACTCGCAACAAGTGCAAACCATAAACCCACAATCAAAATAAACATCTCAATTAATTTTCAAAACAAGCCAATTATATAGCATAATAATCATGCCATTTCAAACCATTCAAAATAAATCAAACATCTAGGTTACAATCATCCAAAATATACCAAAAGCATAAACAGTTTGAAAGACATGATTACATCATTACATTCATATAATTGTCAATAAACAAAAGCCCTAGTATTTGCAATATAACACATTAAAAAATATAAATCAAAATACTCAAAAGAGACAGTGAATCTATACCATTAAGCCTCAAGGAATCCTCTACGCACCGTGTAACCTCCTCCCATATCCTCCAAATATAAGAGAAGATTAATAAAATCACCACGTCAAACACACTAATCAGTAATCAAATATTTTGTTTAAAAGCTTGGACCCAAGACTCATTTGCAAAATCAATAAAATCACAACACGTTTAAGCAATACACAATAGAAGAAAATTACATGCATTCATAGCATTAAATGCATGCATCTCAAATTACAAAATCAAGTTGAAATATAGGCCATGCGCCGCGGCTTGCAGTACGTGCGTCGTGGCATGTGGCACAAAGCCACACCCCTGACTCTCTGTCATGCGCTACTGTGCTAATCTGAATTTTCTGTTGTCATTTGACAGAAAAAATGATGAAATTCTAGCATGCGTCGTTTTCACATACAACATTTGATCGGAGTGATTTAAGCGCTCATACGAAGCTTATCTCATAATCTAGCTAATAAGACAGGTTTAGACACGATCTAATAGTCCGATCAAAATTTAGACATCTAGGTGCAAAAAGTCACTTTTTATAAAAATTTCACGCACCCAAGCGCTTCCTTTCATTAAACCACACGAGGCTTTAAACTAAGTTTAAAAGAACCTAATACACCTGATTGACTATAATATAACACATATATACACCTATACCGAAATTTGACTTCTCAACGGCTAATTTTCACATTTCTCAACTTTTTCCAATTTATTACAATTTGGCACAACTTGGCCCCTTTTTCACCAAAATCACATATATCCACATTCATCATATACTTACAACTCAATCTTAGCTCCAAATTACTCATTTCATCATAATTTCCACACATGGGCTAAGATTTACCAAAAACTCACAACATTCATTACAATTTCTACACTTCCAATAAAAACACAACTCAACCATTCAAATCATGTGTGCAACCCTATGACAACTTATTTACATATATATGTATATACATGAGATGTCAGTTCATTACAAAATCTTTTGAGTTCATACAGCTTTAACAATTTTAAGCCAGTCCTGACTTTTTTCCCTACCCTGATAACTACTTTGTCATGTAAAAATGTAACCACATGGGTGAGATAAAAATCTCAGTAACAGAATAACTCACTCCTATTGACTATCACATGCAACTATATGAAAGTAAAGCATAATATACCATTTAATATAACATACATCACATGATTCACTTCAAATCGCACAACATGTGTCATATCACTTATTTTACTACCATAATCACCACTTTTCACCACTTTTCCACATATACAACATATAACATGATCACTACCGACTAACTTCCAAATTACCCAAACATAAAACTATAGGCTCGCCTTAGACCAATGTACACTCTCATTGGCCCTAAGCTCACTTTTAGTAGTAGAATCACCTAGCCAAAGATGTTTTATCTCACTTCCAGACTATAGTTTCCCCCAATACACACAATAGGGTGTCATTGAATTCAATACTGTATCACATAGGCACTAAGAAGTCCAAATCTCTAACATTGCGTCTCATTAGGTACTAAGGAGATCATCTCCAACACCGCACCCCGAAAGTCAATAAGGAGGTATAATTCTCCAACACCACATTTCGTTGGGCAGTGGGAGAATATGCCATATGGTTTTGTCACCATACTCCACAAGGATGAACTCCCACTCCTATGATCATGCTTTCCAAACCACATAGGTTCTTCATTTATACACATGTCCTCAATACACCATATATATTTATATAAAGTATGAAATTACATGTTCTTACTCATTTATTTGATCAAAAGCCATTTTTCATACAACATTCACGCAATGTTATGAAACATTCTTAGTTTAAAACAATTTCATGCAATAGATATCATACTCACACATAGTTACAAAAAATAGCCAAATAGAGGAAGTTAACCGATTATCTTATCCCTTATATCACTAGAAATGTTACCCGTGGATTTCAACTACCACTACAACTTATCACAAGCTTCCTTTCTTAACTCACACGCTCAATATGCCAATTTGAACACATTTGATACAATTTAGTCATTTGGTCTAATTTGACCAAAAGTACATAACTACTACTTATGGCTATATTTAGCCATCTATTCTTTTTCATTTATCCATTTTATGTCCATTACTGCTCGATTACTACTTTACATCATCTCAACTAGTCTTATTTCAGTTAAAAAAGATTTCCATCTTAATTTCTTCTTGATTTAGGGCCAATTCGAGCCTATGAGTTCAAAACTCTATCGTTCAACTTTAAATCAGTCATAAAGCTCTAATTTAACTTTTGAAAACCTTTTTATTACATTGGGTAAGAATCAAACCCCTTAAATTTTATCGATTCAATTTCTCTACAACTGATATTTAGAGAAATTTGGGTAGAATGGGAGATAAGGGTTATACGTAACTTATCAGCTAAGTTATTGATTAAAAGCACCCTCTACGACTTTGAAATCTCTTGCCCTAGCACACCAGCCCTTCTTCTCTTCTCCATTCGTGCGTTTCAACCTTTCTACTTCTGAAATTCATAAAATTTCACGACTTTAGAAGTCACTTTTTAGTCCATGTGCCGCAATGCATGCTGCACAAGCTGTGGCGCATGGCACAATGAGAATAATTCTTACCACGCACATTTGCTTCAACCCGTAATGCTATCCTTCCACTCGTATCTGTTCATTTAATATCCCAATGAGTCAAATGATCACATAATCATCCAAATCTCTAATTTCATACTAACTACCACTTTACCCTCAATTAACAACTAAT